CAAACCAACACGGCTGTGTTCTTTAACGTCTAAAGCAGGTTTATATAAATTAAAAGAAAATGCAAGACCTGTTCCTTTCCTAATCAGGGAACCACAACCTCAAATCTCCATCTCCAGTGAGATTGATTGGTAATAGGTAACAAAACGACAAGCGTCTTTTTGTGATATATTTTCATGATATTGAATAATCATGATATATTTATCGTTTGGATGAATAAATATAAGTTCAATAAGAAGTCTAAGTACAATGGCCTCTGGGCTAGTTGAACAAAACAACATGTATTATAAAAATAACTATAATTTTTTATATGACCATTGAATCATACACAAATTTCACCAAGAAATACTATAGGCATTGTTTTATAATGAGACTAAAACATGCTGGGTTGCATGGTTTGATCAGATTTGCTGATTATAATAGTCAATGGCCTCTGGGCTAGAAGTAGTGTTAGAAGTTGCTGCTAAATTTCCTAGGGAATGCAATTTCTTTAATATATACGTACAGATAGCAATATGCAACACATTTTTTTTTTTGGATTCAAGAAAATCTCACCTTTTAAAAAACATATTTTTTGAGTTCATGGAAGCGAATAAAATCTTTGCTATTCTAAATACTTACAAAAAATGTATATTCTAACTCAAATTCAAGACCTGCTATAAGAATTTACTATCATGTACACCTCTTAAAGACACAATATGCAACATGTTCGGCTGATTTATTTGCCTTCTAGGCCAATAACATGCAATAATTTATTATTTTTATAAAATAACCATTTCATAAAATTAAATTTATTTCATATAAACTAGATCTAATTAAGATATCAAAATAAACTTTGTGTGGGAGTAAGAAAGTGCTCAGGCTTGTTTGCTAGCTGGGATACCATATCAGAAATTAAATTATAGTCCGTATAATTATATACCAAAATTGAGACTTGACTTTTATAAAAGCCAAAATAAGTTGACTTGACGCAAACAAACTACGAGACGGAATCATGGGTTATAATTATGAGGTATATTCATTCAATTTATATCAACCACCAAGTCATAGGCATAATGATTCCTCGGCAGGTTGATACAAATACATCCATTATATGGTAGATTTAGCCAAACTTGATTAGGACTAGGTCAAAGAAATTTAAGATTATAGAGCTACTTCCTTATCAAATCCCTTTGGAGTGTTGAAGTTTTAGATCTAAGCTACGTACCTCTTCCATTATCCTCTTAAATTTTCCTCCTTTTAAATAGATATGGAGGAGATTCGCCGCGCTGCTGTAGCTTATTATGAGAATCTGTCGGAGGAGAAGAAGCGAAATGCCAGATTTTCTTTCAATGAAATGGACAAAAACGGAGACGGGCAAATTAACCTACATGAATACGTGGACTATCTCAAGAAACATAACAACACGGTTCTTATTCTTCCAAGCTTGTTTACAGCGCTGGACAAGGACGGCAATGGAAGCTTGGATTTTGAGGAAACAATCGTCTTGTACTACATCATGCAGAGTGGAAGAAATTTAATTTGCCAGTCTTGTAATACTTTCTTGGCAGACGTATACTTCAGCTGCTTTCAATGTTTCTGTCTTGATGAGTCACCTAGCACCTATGATCTTTGTTGTGATTGTTATGGTGGAAAAAGGTTCACTCACCACGATGATGCCATCTTCTGGGATAACTATACTTTACTAAGTCAAAGCAGGAGCTTGGCACTTGAAGCTCCCGTACAGGTAATTAATCTTTGAAAATGATATCAACTTCGATCCCTGTTATACGATGGCATGCTAGAAAGAAATACTTCAGATTGCTTAAAATTTCCAATTTTTGAAACGAATTGACACCTCTAATTATGTTTCTTTAATTGTGGATTTGGTTTGAATTGGGTTTTTCTAGCAGATTGCTTCTTCATTATTAGGAATTCATAAATGTTCTTTGATTACATTGAAAATTTTGAGAGAAATAATAGGATTAATCAACTAGTTTTCAAGTATATGTTTAAATTCCAAAAATTATAGCTCTTTAACTTTTTTGACTTTTTTATTTTTTTTTAAACTGTTAGTGACCATTTATATCATTACAGCATAATGATACTTACATTTTTTTTATCGGAATAATTTAATTTTTTTCAACTGTTCTTCATTAGGCATTACCATTGTGTAAAAATTAAGTCTCGAGCTGGATAAAGTACTTTTTTTGTAAATGTATTTGTTATGCGATTAATGGGGCGATTTGCTCTTATATATATATATATATATTGTGTCATTCTACATTTATTATTATTATTATTATGAATTCTGCTTTTCAAGAACTATATTTGTTAAGGTTTATGTATTTTTATTAGTTAAGAGTCCACTTGTCTATCATTTATGTATATAAAAATGAATTAATGATGTATTAGTTAAGAGTCCACTTGTCTGTCATTTATGTATATAAAAATGAATTAATGATGTATTAGATAAGAGTCCACTTGTCTATCATTTATATAAAATAATCTTAAAATTATATTGTTCCACTTATGTTTCCATAAGGTTTTTTGTGTTTAATTTTCTTAAATTATATAACACATGTCAAAAATATGTGCATTGCCTTATAAGATCAATAATTAAAAAAATAAAACTATATTTATAAAAATTGAAAAAAAAAATAAGAACATTTGACTTAAAAAACCAAAACAAATAAAAATTATCATCAAATTAAAAAAAATTGCATTTTGTTAAGAATATTATGCATGAAAAACATTTTAAAAGAAAACTTAGCATTTTGTTAAGAATATTATGCATGAAAAAAATTTAAAAAGATATAATATATAAATAAAGAAAACTAACTCATCAATGTTATTTTTAAGAAAATAATAACTCATATTTGTCCTTATTTTCATGTAAAACCTAATTATCTCAAACACACAACTAACCAAAACAATGCTAAATTTTTCATTCATAATTTTATTGATAATGATATGTTTTGTTCCTGGAGTCCTTTTGTTTTACTAGATTTTTCACTTATAGAAAATTATTTTACGGATTATATACTGTTCCACTATCATTATCAATATTTGTCCTTATTTCTTGGTGTTCAATTATCATTTATTTCTTGGTGTTCAATTATCATAAATCATATAAACACGTGTCAAAAATATGTGCATTGACCGATAATAGCATTACTTGAAAAAAAACTACATATAACATTAAAAAATTAAAAAAAAATAAGAATATTTGAATTAAGAAACCCAAACCAATAAAAGTTTATTATCAAAGTAAAAAACTTATCATTTTGTTAAAAATATTATACATGAAAAAGAGGAATTAAAAAACATATAATTTAATACACACACATATAAAGAACACTAACAAATACATATTATTTTTAAGAAGATACTAACTCATATTTGTTATTATTTTCCTGTAAAGCCAGTCTTAAACAAATAATTAACGATAAAATGTTAAATTTCTATTCCATAATCTTATTAATAAAATATTGTTTATTAGATATTGATATTTATTGGTATTTTCTAAACTAATATTAAATATATATTTGATAAAGGAGAATATTTGTACTAAATCTTTAATCAATAAAATGAAAAAAAAAAACTAAGAAAATGTGCATCGATGTTTTGAACTGATTAATAGAAATTCTTGCTTGTATATGCTTGATATATAGTATAATATACTTAGTACAAACAAACCAACAGTACAGGTAATGGCCTATTGATCAAACAAGTGATCCAAATAGCTCGTTTCTATAAATTTATTTGTCAAATTTGATAACATCTTTCTAATTATATTTCCATAATTACAAAAAAATCACAAATTTTTCCATAACTGCAGCTTTTGAAGTTAATGTCCTGTTGTCCTAATCGTTGTGTGGGTTTTATTATATAGCATAGTGATTGTAAGAATACATCAGAATCAAAATTTGTTTTATATATAGGCATTGTTCCAGATATCTAATCACATGGTTCTTTATCTTTAATTTCAGAAGCGAAGAAATGTGCTTGAAAAAATTGGAATGATAGTGCAAGTTACAGGCATGGTTGTTGGTGGTGCTTGTCTTGTATCATCCTCTGGCTGCAGCATTATGTGAAAGAACGAATGATGCATGTTATCATCGCCGTCTTTCAATTTTATTAGAATGTTGTAAAGGGTGGAACTTGAACTGCTTGCCTATGGAAGACTATTATTGATGAAGTAATGAAGAACTTCATATTAGATCGAGCTTTTCACGGGCTGCGATCTTCAGCTAGTTAAAAACACTGAGACGTATGTTCAAGCCATGATCCAAACAATGTATGCTTGTATTTGAGAATTTTTCATGGTGCTGGTCAAGACCCAAATAATTTTAGAGTCAAAGCAAGGGAAAGAAAAAAGAGTAATTCGTTTAGGCCCAGCTCAAATGATTGGAGGCGGTCTGTTCAAGCCATGGTCCAAACAAGATGTTTTATTTTTTGAAATATCACGCACCATCAACTACTGAACTATAAGACTTGAGGAATATTTCAATAAGAATCTTCATATTTTTATGACGAGCAAGGGCTCGAACTTACACTGTAGGTTTATTGTTACCCTATAACAATAGAGTCTCTTTAATAGTTCTAGGAAACATAGAAGACTTTATTATGGCCTCACAATGAATATTGAAATTACACAGAAATAGCAAAATATTAATTTTACAATGCAATTTCATGATTGTTGTTGCGGGTGTGTCATAATGTCATCAATTATGATAAGATTTTTATCGTGCTTCTTAATAAAGAATGTGTATTGGGAAGGGAAATGAGTTTGGATTTAATTATAAAATTATAATTAATATTCAGAGTCGTCATTTGATATTATGATCACTAGAAATTTATGGTTTGCGAGAATCTAAACAAGAACTGGTTATGCAAGGAAAAAAATATATTACCTCTAGTGTACATTACCTAAAATAAGTTACATTATTGTTTGATTATTTTTATAAGTTGGGTTTTTATTTGTTAGTTTCATCTAAGGTTTAAAGTAGATCTCACTTCACGAGAGAGTCTTTTACTTTAATAGGTTAAATCTCATTCATTATAAAGTTCACATTTTGGCATTGCATTTTTTACATCTTGTATTTTTAATACCTGAGAGTATATTCTATTACGTAGTTTTACACCCAACAAATATTAAAGTCTATATGTAGACCTTAAAAAAAAATTAAAAAGGGTTTTTAAAATTTTAGCCAAATTCTAATGAATAATCATAAAGTAGTTATGATATTTATTTTCAGATTTTTAAAAATATGAGAAAGATGTATTTTTTTATTTTTTGTTTAAATGAAAATATGCTTGAAAACTTTTTAGGATTTAGCCGTAAGCATGAAAACAATTATTTATTTATTTTAAATGAGAAATTAATTTCAAAGTTTTGAGAATTTTTTTTGAATATTTTTTAGAAACTTTTTGGAGGAAATTGAGTATTTTAATATTGAATTTGTATCTTACAGTGTAAATATCCAATATGATATCATGCAAACATTGATAAAAAAACACATAAGAAAATCATAATTTTTTTAAAAATAAATATAATATATATGATCTTATATAATATTAAATAAATGAGTTGGGCCGATCACAACCCAACAAATCCTTTTTTTATGGTTGGACCAGAACCGGCCCAAACATGTTATGTTGGACTGGGTTAGGTTGATCTCGGCCTAACAAATCCTTTTTCTTTTTATAGTTAGATCAAATTCGGCTCAACCATCTAGGTTGGGCCAAATGAGGTCCGGCCCATCAAAGGAGTGAATTATATGCAAAACATGTATAGTAGTTCACATTCTACATACAACTCTGCTATTACAAATGACAAAGAGGAATGGAAGGTAACCTTATGGAAGGGAATGAGCTACTGTCACTGGCCTAACATGAAGTGGGTGGAGGTGTTGGTGAAAGAAATGGTGGCCTGAGTCGATTGTGGTGGCTGCAACTAGAAGAGAAATAAAAGGAAAAAACTTGTGAAGGGGAAAGCGAGGAGAGAAAGAAGAAGAGAGAGTTGTGATGGCTACTCTATCACTTATAAGGGTCTGGGTTGGTGGAGATGATGATGTTCAAACTAGTGGTAGATGTGGTAGTGGTTAAAGGTTATAGAGGAGAGAGAAAAAAGAAAAAGAACTTGTTGTTAAAATATTACAAAGAAAAAGCTAATTTTTGGCTGACTTTGCACTATATTTTCTTCATGCTCAGGCCATAGAATCCACCCTTATTTATAGGGCTGGAATAGCGAAATCTTATCTACACTAAGAAAAACTTTCGACCCTTGATTCATTTAGGAAGGATGCTAACTATTAGTTCAAAGTATAAATCATATGTTATATTAAATGTACCTTCAAAGTAGCTTTTTCTAAGTGTTCATTTTAGAAAAAATAAAAGAAAAAGATGAATAGTAACCAAAACAACGTTGTTTTGATAACTTTCATTTTAGCCCTTAGATGTTTGCTTTGTCTCATCTACACCCCTTAATAAAATTAATTTAATTCATTTAAAGTATAATTAAATCCTTACACCTAATTAAATCCTTCTATTGGATTCAAATCAATTCTTAAACCTAACTAAACCATTAATTTGACATATAATTAAATCAAATTGACCTATCAAAAATTTATTTATATCCTTGAGCTTAAAAAATATATAAATTTATCCAATAATAATTTAATTTGACTTTAAATTTGTATTATTTATCTAGTTTTTTTATATAATAAGGTACAATTTAACTTTAAATTTGTTTAAAATTGCCATTTCACCTTCTTATATTTTTTAAATCATTCACAGTCTGTTTTTCCAACTTGTCAGTATTATTGCTTTTAAAAAAAATTAAAGAATAAAAAAAATTATTATTATTATTATAAATTAATATTATTATTATTACTATTATTATTATAATTACTATTATAAAGGTGATAACTTGCCAAAAACTCCATCGGGGCTAGTTTCAGTTTGTCATGTTCCTTGGAAAAATGCAGCTCGGCTTTTCATGACTTTGTTTCGAGTGGTTCAAGATACCAAAGTTTCCACATCCAAATTCACTTCAATTCCTTAATATTTCTTCATTGTGGGGTCACTTATCAGGACTATAAATCAATGTAGAACAGGAGACCTTAAGAAATGTTTTTCATTGACTTTGTAATATAAGTCTGCAAAAAAAAGAAAGAAAAAAATCAAACGATAATTTTTATATTTTAATATATTTCTAAAAAAATACTTTATAAAATAACTGTTATTTCACTCTTTTTAATTCATGGTTCCCGTGAAATCAAAGAAAAGATCTTTGATTACTTGAAATGTCAAGTTTATATCAATGTCGAACTCGGATTTGGCTACAATAGCATTGTTTTCTTCATTGTGGGGCCAGGCCAAAACTATAAATCACTACCGAAAAAAGGAAAACTTAAAATATGCTTTTCATTAACTTTGAAATACAATTCTGCGAAGAAAAGAAAGACAAAAAAGCAAAGAATATTTCTGGGCTGCAAGGAGGTCGTGAGATGGGGTATTTCCTTGAGCAAAGAAAAGAAATTTTGAGTTTTTCAGGAGGCGTTGCATGGGTAAAGAATTTAAAATCTATATAATAGATTTTAAGTTGGAATTAGGATATATATTTTTTTGTAAAATCTTAAAATAATTGAGGTTTTATTTATTTATATGTATCTATAAAGTGTACTTTCTAGAAAATAAATGTAAAAAAAGAAAAGAAATACTGAGGCAATGTTGTGGGTCTCTTTTGAAGAAATTAATGGCTGAGGACGTCGGTCAATGGATTTATTAGAGGAGGCTGTAGAGTCAACATCGTGCTACTGTTATTTTTATTGTTCACAGTAATCGCATATTTATTCTAAGAGCATGTCTGATAGTTTAATATAAGTTGCTTTCGTTATTTTTAAACTGCCTTTTATTTGTAAATAAATTAAAATAATATTTATTTAATTTTTTAAAATTTATTTTTAATATTGATACACTAAAATAATCCAAAAAATCATATTGTTTTACTGTTCACAATAACGTTAATTTATGCTAAAAGCATGTTTGATAGTATAATATAAGTTGTTTTTTAAAGTATTTTTTATTTATAAATTAATCAAAATAATATATATTTATTTTAATATTAATATATCAAAACACTCTAAAACTACAAAAACAAAAATTAATTCAAAACTATAAAAAATTTACCAGAATATCAAACTAGGCCTAACATAGATATAATATCTTGCAGGTCAATTCAAAATCCTCAAGATTAGCTTGATATGGATTTTATTTTATCTTAAATTGTTTTTAATACTTACTTAATTAAATTTGGGTAGTCGGTCAAAAAATTAAAAAAACTAAAATGGTATTTTCTAATAGTTAATATGTGGAACATGAAAACTTAACAACCAATAACTCAAGTTTTGTAAGTATATTCTACTCTAACGATGTTAAAGAATATATATATATTCTTAAAATAATATATATATTTATACACACATGAGTCAATGTAATGGCCCATGAATTGATCGAATGATAATGTATCATAAGAAGATAACTTCTATTTATTTATGATCGTTTACGTTATGACACTCTATTTTTTCAGATTTATTAGGTGATTTCGACTTGATATCATCATTTGTCTTTGATTTTCGTGTAGTAATTCAAATCCAATTGCTCTATTGTCTTTTATACACATTGAAAGCCTAAAACATTTTTATTCGAGGAAGTGCAGCGGCGATTCTTTCTTTCTTTCTTTTTTAATTAATATGGATGTCCGGGTTAGTTTTCGCGCACCACGATTAATTATACGAGCCCTGAAGTTAACGACCATGTAAACCTCCAGTGGCCATGATATGAGCAACCAATGACTCGAACCTAAAATCACAGAGAGAACAAACCTCTTGATTCCAGATTTTTACCACTTGGCTACCACCTAGATGGTTAAATGCAACGGCAATTCTTAATATTATTTATAGTTATTATATATTTACTATTATTATTATTTTTATTTAACTATTATCAAAGTATGATAACTCTTGTTTTTTTCAAAATATTATTTAAAAATTCAGTTGAAATTCTAAGAGGAAAAAAATAGAATATTATCATCACAGTTTGTTTTATATATAGGATTTGTATCAGTGGCTTTGATGGGTACCATATATTTTATGTTCTACCTAATGATGTCATTTAAAAACTCATGTTCTACCTAATAATGTCTTTTACTTTGATACATTGGTTGGA